AAAGTAATATTTCTCATCCAAACGTGCCCATTTTGCTTCCAGTAGCTCAGTTCAGCTTTGAAATCAGCCAGTGACCAAATAAGAAAGAAAAATATTCATGCTGCCTCGGGAAAATGATTTCACCTCTCTGAGACTCCGTTTCCTCAAGTGTAAATGGGGATAATAACAGTGCCTACATCATAGGGTTGGTGGGAGGGTTAAATGAGAGGACACACAGGTGCTAAGAAAAGCCACATTTCTTTTATTTGAGGTTACTCACTCTTAGAGAGTGCATGGGGACAATTACACATAACTTGACAGTTATGTGTAAGGTTGAATTAATTTCCCTGTATTAGTTTCCTCGGGCTGCTGTAACAAAACACAGCAAACCAGGATGGCTTAAAATAACAGAAATGTACTCTTTCACAGTTCTGGAGGCTGGAAGTCCAAAGTCAACATGTTGGCAGGGCCCTGCTCTCTCTGAAAGATCTAGTGAAGAATCTGTTCCGTGCCTTTCTCTTAGCTTCTGGTGTCTGCAGCAATCCTTGGTGCTCCTTGGCTGCCTCACTCCTATCTATGCCTCTGTCTTCACAGGGCCTTCTCTCTCTCTCTCTCTCTCTCTCTCTCTCTCTCTCTCTCTCTCTCTCTNTGTGTGTGTGTGTCTTTTCTTCTAAAGACCCAGTTTATTGGATTAAGACCCATCCTGATTGAGTATGATTTCATCTTAACTTGATTACATCAGAAAAGACCCTATATTTGGCCTCCATCAAGGAATTTCTGGAATGTTCGGACCTGAGAGAGGTAAAACCTCCCCCCCAACACCCACCCCAGCCCTTGGCCCCATGTCCTGTATCCCTTGGGACCCTCTGAACAGCAGTGGAGACCGTGAACTGCTTGGTGCTGTCTGAGCGGCGAGACATGCAAGGGCCAAATGAACAAATGGAGGCGATGGGAAGTGAGTGCCAGGAGGGGGCAGGTGCCAGGAGGGGGCAGGTGTCAGGGGGCAGGCCCTGCAGGAGGCCAGGCTGACACGTGAAATCAATAGGCAGATGGGGAAAAATGCCTAATGACGGAGCTGGATTTCTAAGGAAAACAGAGAAGCTGCTTCCTCCGTTCAAAGAAAAGCTGGTGCAGCAGATTCCAGGGCCCTTCTCCTCTCTCCCCGGCTCCTCTGTCCTCGCACTTACTGGGGGGCATTTACAGGAGGAAGATGTCAAATGACGAGACTGGCTGAGTGACAGGGCTCCACAGAGGAGAGAGCGCTGAGCCTGGATGTTTGTACCCAACCTGGTCCTTCCTCCACAGCCACCCTATGGGATGGGCTGCAGGCAGACGCAGCTCCAGGTGCCGTGTGATGGCCTCACATGATTCCAGGTGCTGGCACACGGGGACTCATATGGTCAGGACGCATCCTATCAGGTGGGTGGCTCTGTGGCCCCACTGTGTGCAGCTGCACATGCTTTGTGCACACAAAGGGGATGTGCGGCCAAGGAGCACATGCATGCATGTGCTGCAACTCTGCTTGCCTCCTTGTTGCAGACCTGTGGCATGCACACACCAGAGAAGTCTCCAATCTCAGCACACGGGTATCATATGTGAACCAGCACACACAAACCAACAGTAGACACTGCTCACCAACCCACGGACAGCAGAGAATGCCCCTGTATCCCAGGGAACTACATTTCCCAGGCTCCCTTGCCCTTCGCTTCTGGGTAGGTCTGGCCAATAGGAGGCTCTGGTGGAACATCAGAGAGCGGGAGGAAGGGAGAAGTCGGTATTTTCCCTCCTTTCCCTTGGATAGTGTTTGTGGCAGCTGCTGCACCTCTTTTGGGAGTCGAGTTCCTTCTGGAAAATCACTCCCTCTGTGGTCCCCGCTTCCTCCATGATCCAAGCATCTGGACTCTGGTAAGACTACGTCCTCTTGTTTTTTCTCCACTGTAGGAGTGGCAGGGGCTTCCTGTAGTTACTCACCTCTGGGTGCCTCATGGTTCCCCTGTATGGCTTCTCATCACCTGGGTCATCACCTTCCTCTGTCTAGACTCCCTCTATCTGCTTTCCTGGATGGACCCTGACTGATAGAGTAATGATAACGACCATTTATGAAGCACTTAGAATGTGCCGGTGATTCTTACATACATTACCTCCCTGAATTCTCGCATGGGTAGCAAGTGGGGTTGATACTAGTGACTCCACTTTATGGATGAGAAAAATGAGGCTTGGAGAATTTAAATAACTTGTCCAAGGAGAAACCTCAATTTGAACTCAGTTGTAATGGGAAGAACACAAGCTTTGGGAAAAGTCTCATCTTAACCACTTGTAGCCGTCTGACCTCAGACAAGTTAACTAATATTTCTAAGCCCCTGTTTCCTAGTTCTAGAACATTTTTACCACCCCAATGGAAACTCTGTACCCATTCAGAATTACTGCCATTCCCCGATCCCCCCAGCCCCTAGTCATCACCAATCTGCTTCCTGTTTCTATGAATATGTTGGATAGTTTGTATAAATGGATTAATACAACATGTGGTTGTTAAGGTTGGAATTGGGTCCCTTATCCCCCTAAATTCATATGCTGAAGTCCAACCCACCAGGACCTCAGAATGTGACCTTACTTGGACATAGGATCATTGCAGATATAGTTAAGAAGGCCATTAGGGCGGGCTCTAATCCAATGTGACTGATGTCTTTATAAAAAGGGAAAATTTGGACACAGACACACACCTACAGGAAGAATGCGATGTGAAGATGAAGGCGGAGACCTACAAGCCAAGGAACAGTGAACCTGACCAGCACACGCCAGAAGCTGGGGAGAGGCACAGCACAGACTCTCCCTCACAGCCCTCAGAGGGAACCCACCCTGCTGACGCCTTGTTCTGAGACTTCTGGCCTCCAGAATCGTGAGGCAATACCTTTCTGTTGTTCCAGCCACCCAGGGCGCGGTACTTTGTTACGGCAGCCCTTGCTTTTGTGTCTGGCTCCTTTCACATAGCATAATGTTTTCTAGGCTCATCCATGTTGAGCATGTCTCATCGCTGTGTTCTGGGTCCTCCAGGGCTTCGTTCTAGAGTGATGACAGCTAAGCGTCTCTCTTGACAGTAAGTGGCAACTATGTTCTCTCCCAGTGAGCACTGCAGGATGGAGACATGACTAATGCAGGGAGGCCAGCTGGCGCGCACAGTCCTTCCAGGAAACACAGCTGAGGAGGCCTCAGTGAGGTCTGTTTCTTCCGTCATGGTCACACCTGTTGGGTCCTGGGATGCAGAGTTACCTACCCCATGCCAGCTGAGAAACAAGTACCAGTCTGCTTGGCCCCTCCCACTGCCCCAGAGAAGTTCCCAGCTCTCCCTTGCATCCAGGGGGTGGAGGCCTCTCTTGGGTTGCCTCACAATGTGATGGTTAGGAGTGTGGCATCCTGAGCCAGATTGCCTGGGTTCAAATCCCAGTGCCAGCTCTGCCTCTTGGAAGAGTTGCTGTAATTCACTGTGCCTCAGTTTGCCCATCTGTGAAATGGTGATAGTTAAACAGTGAAGAAATTAATTAAGACACGAGAGCTTTGTTTGGTCTGGTCCAACCAACCAGATCAACTGCTGTAAAGGGCCCCGCTGTTCGCTCTACATGTCCTGTGCTTTCACCCTGGAGCTGGACTCCTCAGTCCCACTCATAAAGTCCTCTGCTCCTTCCAGGTGTCCTGTCTTGTTTGGTGACATACCACCTACCCCGTTGCCCCGTGATGGGTTCTCCTCCCTCATCCCTACATCCGGGCTATCTCCAAGACGGATCTCACAACCATCCTCTCTCCTTCGTTCCATCGTCCTAATTTAGGGCTCATCACCCCTGGTCTGGACTCTCCCAGTGTTTGCTTGCACTGGTCTCCCTGCCTCTAGTTTTGCTCCCTCCGTTCCATCCTCTGAATTTCTTCAGCATTCCAAAACATGCTCTGTGTCCCGTGCACCCTCAGTGGCTCCCTCAGGACTCGGGACATGGTGGGCACTCGATGACCATGGAATATGCCCGGGTGCACACACCGTGTGCCTTTGCCCATGCTGCTAATTCTGCCCAGCTCCCTCTCCCCCTTCTTGTTTTTCAACCAAACTCATGTTTATCTTTCAAAACTGGCTCAGATGACCTGTTACCTAGAAAGACTCCGGAAACCACAGGGAGGCCCCTCCCGGCTACTCTATCTTGACAACCCTCACACCTTGACATTCCCGGTTTTCCTCGCTTATTGTCTGTCTCCCCTGTGACAATATAATCATTACACGAATTGTTTGTTTTATTCACTGCAGTGAAGAAAACTTCCCTCACCGCTGGGAACGCTGCTTGGTAAGGAGCAGGTACTTAATAAATGTTTGCGGAATGAATGAATGAGTCTTTGGGTGCCCGGGACTCAGTCTGGGATTCTGGTTTTCAAGTTCTCATTCAGTATTTGCTAGACTTGAATAGAGACAAAAAAAAAAAAGCGGGGTCTTGGGGGACAGATGGGGCAGGATGAGGGCTGGTGGCATGAGTTCCCCAGGGCAGAGTACTAAGCAGTCTCTCAAAATCACAGTTGCCCGGCCAAGAGAAAATGGTCTCCTGTGGGGCTGTGAGGGTTCCGTGAGAGATGACAGATCATGAGGCATGCACAAGTGGGAGATCTTGTCATTCTGAACAGCTCAGAATCATGGACCTCACTGGTACGGGAACATCTTTTTCCTCTAGCGGGTCAAGCAGCGTTCTCAAGAGGCTGGGCACAAAAATAATTGCTGAATGAAGGAATGAATCCTTGAGTCCTCAGAACTTAGCTGGGTGCATACATTCCCAGTGAGTAGTTGCTGGGTTGACTAGAAATAAAGAACACACAGGCCAGCAGGCAGGGATCAATGGGGTCGGGCGAGGGCTGGTGGCAGGCCTCCTGAGGGGTCTTTGTTATTCCAGACATGTATTTGTCTGTTTTAAATTTTTATTGAGGATAAAATACAGAGAGTAATTCTAAGAGTGCGTTTTGATGAACAAATGTCTACGTCCGTGTAACCACCCAGATCAAGATGTACAACATGTTCACAGCCCTGGAGGCTACCTCTTGCCCCCTCCTGGTCTGCGTTCCACAGAAAAAGCCAGGTCGCTCGCTTCCATCGCCCTAGATGAGTGTTGCCAGCATCTGAACTTGCTATGAATGAAGGGATACAGTATGATCAGGCTCTGTTTTCCTATCTGCTTTTCGTGAGCCAGGAGTCAACACGTGAATGCCAACAATTGGAATCTGGGTGTGAAAGCGTGCTGGCAGGTGGCATCCCCTGCAAAACGTGGGTTCTGGGGTTTGACGTGCACAGTTAATGTCTCCTTAAAGGAGTTGTCTTGAGCAGAATGATTTTCACCTTCTTTGCTGAGAGCACCCCATCTTAAGAGCCGCCCTCGGTCTGACAGCGGAATCTTTTCTCTCCAAGCTGCATGAGTCAGACCTAGAGCCTTGCATTGTGTGCTGTTCTGGTCACGACGCTGTGCCCACCTCCTCCGAGAAGACTGCCGTGCCAGCCTGGCCCACTGCCAGTGTCTGGAAACCATTGGGCTGCACCTGTGGGGTCTTGCTCTCTCTTCACATCTAACCTCCCTCCCCCGACTAGCATCAGCAGCCTGCACTGTGTCTCCTGGGTTCCTGGGGTCACTTGAAATATCTACAAGACACCAAGCCACCTCACATTCTCCTCGGGGAGACGGAGTCTGCTTCCTCTCCCCGACATGCAGCAGGCAGAGGACATGGGGTTGGAGAAAGAGCTGGGAACGGGCTTTGGAGCCAGAGACCTGGGTGCAAATGCTGGCTCGTGTCCCAGACCGGTAAGCTTGCCTCATCTCCTCACCTCCCACAAGGGAAGTAGTACCCATGCTGTGTTGGAAGGATGAAACGAACTATGCAAAGTGCCAGCACGTAAGAGATTCTCAGAAGTGACAGCTACTGTCACAGCCCAACGTTGAAGAGGATGGAACCTGAAGCTTAACTGCCTGGGTTTGAATTCTGACGTCACCACTTGTTAGCTCTGAGGCCTTGGGCAAGTTACTGAACCCCTCTGTGCCTCAGTTTCCCCATCTCCACAATAGAAGTAGTGATAGTACCTACTTTACAGGTGGCTAAGAATGAACTTAACCAATATCTATAAAGTGCTTGGGACAGTTCTTGGCATACAGTAAAGGCCAGGTAAGTGTTACCTCTCTCTCTCTATATATATATATAGTATACCTGATTAAGGAATAGTTCTTTAAATAATTAAATAGTATGAAATCATAGCTGTTATGAGGATAAGATGAGATAACATATGGAAAGTTCTGGAGATACTATACATAGGGCTTGGTACACAGTGAGTGCTTACTAGATAGTCGCTCTTATTATTATTTTTTAATATTCATGACTTAGATCCTCCATGAAGTGAGTGGAAGGGTGTGGGGTGGAAAGGCAGGCATGGGTGGAGGGGAACACAGGTACCGTTAGGGGTGCGCAGGGCTGGCCTGGCCACTTTCCTGCTCGTGGGCCGCTACATGACCGCCTCTGATAAGTGGGAGGGTCTCCTGCAGGTCTCTGGACCTCAGCACCTCCCAGAGTGTGTAGTACCCACAGACATGCCACCAAAGCTTGTTGATGGAAAACCAGAAACAGTTTAGAGAAAGCAACCAGGTTTAAAAAGAGAAGACAAAACCACCAAGTAAATTTCCTCCCTGATCCTCCAGAGATGGTGGGACTGGCGGAAGACACAAATACCACTTCCAAGAAAATGAAGGGCTTTCAAGGGCCGTATATGAGTGCTTTGTTTTCAACCCCAGGAAAGACTGAACAAGAAGGAGCAGACATTACCATCAGAGGCACAGCAATTTTGGTAAATACCAAGGAACAGCTTTCTAATCCAAGTATTGGACATCTTAGCTGCAGGACTACTGGACTTGGAACCTCACTGTCTGCCTCTCTGTGTATATCACTTGCACTTTTATTTCTTTTTAAAATTATTTTTTGATGAGAGTTGACATACAACATTATATATTAGCTTCAGGTGTACAACATAGTGATTAGACATTTATATACCTTATGAAGTGATCAAAAGATATTTGCAGATGATATATCTGATAAGGGTTTAAAATCCAAAAATATAAATTAACTCATCTTTGTTTTTAATAACAGGGCTGCTAACAGCTAAACGTAACATTAATGAGCACCTGGCAACAAGGACATGGAAGCTGAGACCTCGGCATCGCCTGGCATTTGAAGGGTCAGCTGTCTCGGTTGACGCAAAGAGCGAGGGATTGTCACAGAATTGGTACAAGTGACAATGGAAATTGCGTTTCCTCCAGTATCACCATGCAAAGATTATTTTGTAAAGAATTTACACAGATGGAATTGGCAATGGAAAAACTTTGAGAGAGAAGAACCCTGTACGTTAAAGCGTTTGAGGATTTGGGGGTGCAACGAAGCATGCTTAAACTTGCCACAGAGAGATTTTCCAGGAAAAATCAAGCAAGCATCTTCTGTTCAAACGTCACTGGGTTCATATTTTAAGAAACCTTAAGCAGTCTGGCTTCGGCAGAACAATTCCCCCGAAGGAACCTTCCATGACACAGCTTTTATGTTAAGTGCTTTGTTTTACATATGTGATAAAAGTTGGTTAAGACCATCTATTTGGATTTTATTTTCTCTTCACTTCTTTTTGTGGTCAGTTTGGGCACTTTGATTGTATGAGATGGATTTCTAGGAATGGAAATCCAGAGGGCAAACTGTGCTTACAGGAAATAAAGATTCAACTGTGCGTGGCTGGCAAGGCTTTCATCCAGGAATCAATTTGGTTATAAGTCAGGGGTGGACAGTAATAAAACACTGACAAGAGGTGACTGGGCACGCTGCCGGGGAGTGTGTTCCTCGATGCGTTTAAGAACAAAGAGAAGGAACACCATCCATGCTGAAGGAACGTACACCTCCATTCAGCTATCTGAGGACTGGAGAGAGGCCCTGGTGCTTTTTACATCTAAACACCAGGTTTAAATTTGAAAAAGATAGAGGGAGATAAAAATCAATAACTCATAGTTCCCATGACCACGTTTTACCATTTTGGTGAATTTCTTTCCAATGTTTTTTCCCAGCCTCATAGAATAGCCACAGCCATATTCCTATCTCTTTTGTACCAGATGACCTTTAGAGGTTCCACATCTGTGGGTTTTTTTGACACACTCAATTTACTATTTAATAGAATTTTCCCCGTGTTTAATAACCCTCCTAATAATCACAGAGTTTGAAATAATACATTTTTTATCTAGTAAATGCTTCAAGAACTTTCAAAAGCCTGCCTTGAACAGGAAGTAGGAGGGGGCTTGTGAGTTAAACATGGCAGACTAGAAACGAAAAGGGGAGAAAGAATTAGAAATACAAATAAGAAAGAAAGGGGGAAGAAGGGGCGGGGGACGGGAAAGAACAAATGGTTTGGGTTTCAGAGGATGCTCACAGGAGGAGTCCACCGGGCTGCCAGGTGGGTGTGGTGACGGTGGGGGCAGTGGGCGTGGCAGCCGCCCAAACAAGGACCTTTGGGACACATCAAAAACAGTCACAGAATGGGAAGACTAGTGGACCAGTGTGAAGGTAGGGGACAGGTGAGGAGCCAGCGGGAACCTTCCCAAGAGATTGAACCTCAAGGCCTTGGCCACAGACCACAAATGGCCACCTTGGTGGAAAAAAGGGAGACCCTCCAAATGGTTAGGCAAATGGAGGACTCTCCACCCACCAGGCATCTGGCCTTGACTCCCATGCAGGAATCCGTAGGCAGAAAGACAACAAAAGCTATTTTTCATGCAAGAGGAGCTGGACATCAGGAAAGATCAGAGCCCCTTTGTATGACATGCCAAACTGCTGAAGCGAGAAAATGTCTCGGGCGAGGGCTCAGATGGGAGCCGGGAACAGCACGCTCGCCCTGGGGAACCCGGGGCCATCAATGCATGCTTGTTATCGGGCTTTTCGGAGTGATGGCCGGAAGCAAAAGTGGGGCGCCCTCCCCCCACCGCATGGCAAAGATGAGCTGGTGACACGGCCTTGGCCGGACTGTCCAGCCCCTGGAAGGCAGCCTGGGTGTCCTGAAATGTCCTCAGGGAGTCTTTGGGGAACCATCATCTTTTCCTGGCTTGTGGTTTGGGCTGGGGGCTGGGGTCTAGCCAAAGGCTCCCTCCCTCTGAGACCCATCCTCACTGTGGGACCCCTTCCCATTGCCCCACATACAGGCCATTCTTTGGGTTAGCAAATGAGAATAACCACCACGCACTGAACACCTGATTCCATTCCCAAGCTAAGCACTGACAGATCTCATCTCGGCTCCTGCCAACAAATCTGCACAGCAGGTATTGCTAACATCCCCATTTTGCAGAGAAAGCAACTGAGGCTCGAAGAAGGTGAAATGACTGGCTGAAGGTGCCACAGCTAGTAGGAGGAGCAGCCTGGATTCAAACCCCTATTCACTCCAGGATCCAGGCCACCCATCACCATCTCCACCGCCATGTCCTATTTGCTCTCCAAGATGCCATTCGAAATAGCCACTGTGTATTTCAAGTCTGTGGTGAGGCCCTGCGTGTATTTTCCATCTGATCCTCCTGAAGACCCTGAGACAGGTCGTCTTAGAGCCCCCGGCAGGAGGCCCTGACACCCAGGTCTGTTCTAATGCGCTCCATACCCTGTGCTGTATTATGCTGCCCGTCCTTCTCCTGCGGGTTCCCTGGACCGAGAAAGGAAGCTCCCCAAGGGCTTTGTGTACCCACAGTGCCCCGCATGAAGGCAGGCACTCAGCAGGCACCCCATAAATGCTTAACAATGATGGAGTTTTAAGTAACACCGCTCTCCAGGCAGCCCTTGGCTCTATGTAGTGTTTGTGGTGGGCTTTGGAAAAAACAAGAGTGGGGTGAGGTCTGGTTCCAGCACCCACCTCTGTCCCCCCGCCACCCCAGCTGCCAATTTCTGTGCAACCTCAGGGCCCTCTGGTATCAGCTTCCCTCCGGTAACAGCTTCCCCGTCCCACGCATCTTCTAATCAAAGTCTTTTCTTAGGGTGGAACAGGACACCCAGGAGTGGCTACATAATTTTTGGGGTGCAGTGCAAAATGAAAATGCGAGTCCTCTTGTTCCAACATGATTATGAACTTCAAGATGTGACAGCAAAGCATTAATTGTCGCACAAAGTCCAACTGCACACGTCTCAGGCCCATGAATATGGCCCTGGTGACACCAGTCATTTTATGTCCCTTGAACTTGACCTGTTACTGGGGTCTGGGTTTTTCTAGGGCAGTCTTAATTTAAAATTTTCTGGATCTCTTCCCCACTCCGCCACTTCCCCGGCAAAATTAGAAATGCCAACATTTCAGGATCTCAGTAACACCTCTTATATCGCCTCTTATACCAACGACAACAGGAAATCTAGTGCCTGCTCTTTTATCTAGAGTTTTCGTTTGGAAAATGCAAATGCCACGCTGCCATTTGTCCCATAGGGGTACCCAAGGCCCTGGGGTTCGACATCCACAGCCTGACATCTCCTCACAGGGAGGAGTTGCTTCCCTCTGTCCAGCAGGTGACTTCTGCATCGGTGTCTCCAGGCCAGCCCTGCCTCAACCCTGTAGAGTGGTCCTCAGCCCTGTGCACTCGACTCATCCACAGCCAAGCTCTCCTGTCCCCCATCCCCAGCTGACTCCTCCTTGGTTCTATGTCTTGGGGGATGGTTCCATTGCCTAGGGGTGTGTATCATTATATCCATTTGACAGATAAGAAAACTGAGGCTCAAGGAAGCTAAGGAATTCGCCCAAGGTCACAGAGCTAATACAGGGTAGAGCAGGATTCAAATGCTGCTCTCTTTGATGCCCATCCTCCACAGCATCTGTCCCATTAACCATCACTTAAACTTGGTTCGGAATGCACCTTCCCTGACTCTCTTATGGGCAGTGAAGCTCCTGGTGGGCGACGTCAGAGAGGCATGTGGGGCTAGATCTGTGGGGCTTCATAGATCAGGGAATGGGCTTGACTTGATCACAATTGGGATGTAGTCCCGTTGGAGGGTGTCGAACTGGGGAATGATGCGATCTGATTTATATTTTTATAAGATGCTTCTAGCTATGATTGAAGGGCCAGCATGGGGGTGGGGGTGGGTGGGAGGCAGAAGAGAGAGCAGAGAGCCTGGTCAGGACACTACTTGGGGCACCAGGTGGGAGGTGGCAGAGCCTGGAAGTGAGGTCGCGAGAGGTGGAGGGAAAGCTGTGGTGATTTCCGGAGGTGGAGCGGGTGGAACCGGTGAGGGTTGTACGGGATTGAGAGGGGGTGTCGCAGGAAAGTGGTTTTTATTTCACCTCTGCGGTGGCCCTCACTGTGTGGGGCACAAAGTGGGCTTTGGTGTTTGCTGGATGGGCGGACTAATGACGGAGCGGGTGGAGCGGGAACGGGGCTGATTCTCTAGAGATGAGAACACACTAGCCAGGAGCAGCACATCTGACATCCGCGGCTACCGCCAGCGGGCGGGTCCTTGCTGAGGTGTCAGGGTAAAAAGAGGCTAAGCCAACAGTGTTTCCAAGAAAATGAGCCTGAAATCCTGTCCCCTCTGCAGTGCCTCTGTGGGAGCACAGCCACTGTGCCTTTCACAGCACTTTCCCAAGTATCGTTTCATTGGATTTTCACAGAACGGGGTCCGGGGAGGGGGAGGACAGGGGGAGAATGCAGAGAGAACGAAGGGAGGGAGATAAGAGGAAAAGAAAAGATGGAGGGAGGAAGGAGGAAAGGATGGGTGAAGGGTAGAAGAAAGAAAGGATGGAGGGAGAATGGAGGAAGGAGGAAGGGATGAAAGAAGCATGGGGGGAAAGGCAGGTGTCATTTGCCAATATGACAGCCAAGAAAACCAAGGAGGTTAAGGGACAAGCAGAAGATTGTCCAGACGGTTAGTGGCAGAATTAGGGCCAGTCCCCAGGGCCAGGTCTCCTGACTCCCAACCTGATGCCTCCACATTCCTGCCCCGTCTGCCTTTACCACCGCCCATGTCCTGCGACACTGGAGGTCACAGCTGTAACCTCAGTGCCTGCCGGGGAATGGGACGAGGCGACACGCAGCCTGGGTGGCTGCCATCGGTGCTAGGCCCTATTTCAACTCCTAATTGACAGCATTATGTTCTGATTTGATGGTTCGCAGAAGCAGTTCAGGGCAGTTCTGCCTCCGAGAGGTGAGGCAACAGTGCCATGTTCTCCACTGGCTCAGCTTCTCCATTCCCACACCCTGGAGGTCAACGAGCTGACCTGGGGCTTCACTTAGCTCGGCTGCAAAGGTTGGGCCACTTAATTCTTCTGGGAAAACTTCCAAGTTTCAGGAAACATGGAAATGGGGAGAAGGCAATCATGCCTTTAATATCTACAAGGTGCCGGGCACCATGAGGGTTATTTTGCATTGTGTTTTCCCCCTATATAACCTTTACAACAATCCCAGGGGTTGATTCGGTGTTGCCTCTATTTTACAATGAGGGTAACTGGAGTTCAGAGAGGTTAGGTGATTTGCCTGAAGACACACAGCTGACAATTGGCAGAGTCTGTACTCAAACCCAGGTCTTGTTTTTTTTCTCTCAGGCTCTGGAGCTGGGCTTGAGTCAAGCAACTTCTCTCGGCCTTTCCACACTCCTTC